CGAGAGACACCGCCAAGACAACCCCCCTCTGGCCACTACATCCCCCGTCGTGAGGGCTCTCACGCGCATGATGGCGTCCACCGTAGAGCGCCTCTTGGCGAGCGCCCCGTCCCCGCAAGGTGCTCGGCGAGGCGGTTTGCAATGACTCTTTCAAAGAGCTTGCCCACCTCTTCGAGCAGCACCACGGGCCGGTATGCGGACGGAGAGTCCGCAGGGCGCCCCGGCTTCCGAATGAGGACCAGCTTCCCCGTCTTCCAACGAAGCGGGTATTGGCCTCTCTCCAAGCATGCGCTTAGGAGCCCCTCCAGTCGGGGCCCGAGAGCCTCCGAGGCCAGGACCCAGGCTTTGCCAGGCAAGCCATCGGGTCCTGGGGCGGTATTCCTGGCCTTGAGCCTATGTACCGCCACTCTCAGGTCTACCCCGGTCCCTTCCGGGATGTCGTCGTCGTCGTCCTGGTGGTCCGCTTCCGGCACCGCAGGTGGCGGAGCCATAGGCGGGGGCGGATGTTCCCCTCGCGTAGGGAACAGAGCGCTCACCACGTCCTCCACGAGCTGGGGCCGGAGACTTTGCGTCAGCGGGGGGCCCAGGTGCGGAGTTTATCCCGCACCATCTTGTAGGGGCGCCCCCACGGATCTCTGTTGAGAGTCTCCAGCATCTCCTCACGGGCCCGATCCCGGGCCCGCAGGACAGCCTCCCGGAGGGCGGTCTTCGCCGCTCTGTATCCCTCGTACAGCTCTGCCTCAATGGCTGCCGCATTCAGTGGACGAATGCGGAGCCTGCGATGCCTGGCGTACAGGTGCCGAGCGGCGACACACGCCTCGCGCAGAGACGTCAGCTCACGCGACCACCAATACATCTGACGCCGGGCGCTTCCTGGCCGGACGCGAGGCATTGCCACGTCACATATCTCGGACATGGCCTCCTGGAACCACCCTGCCTCATCATTGACGTCGGCAGGCCTGTCCGGTGATGACACCCAGGCCTGCACGATCGAGGCTTCCAGGAGGAGCTCCCGGTCCAGCTGCTTCAGCGCCCAACGCAGACCACTCGGGGCCTCTTGGACTGGCGCGCTTGAGGGCTGGGTGGAGACATCAAACCGGATGTACAGGTGGTCGGAGTTGGTCTCCACCCCCTCCATGACACGCCAGTCAATGGCACGCGGCGACAGAGTGGGGCTAGCGAACGAGATGTCCACCACCGACTCGCCCCGCATCCGCACACACGTGGGGACAGAACCCCGATTTAGGACGACCAGGCCTGTCTCCAGAGCCCAGTCTTCCACCATCCTACCCCCGCACATCTGTACGACGAGAACCCCAAGCCAAGTTCTTGGCATTGAAGTCCCCGAGGACAAGTACGGGGAGGGGATAACTTCCGACGACGACTGCTCTCAGCTCTGCAAGAGAGTTGTGGAGCTCGACGAGAGATCGGTTCGGGGAGAAGTACACCCCCACAACGACGAACTCCCCGAACCGTGCTGCTACGCACCCCTGACCCCTCCTGACACCCTCAAGGGTCGGGGTACCGGCGGCGGCCGAAGAGATGATGGCCACTGAGCCGTTAACCTGTAAGCTCTGACAGCGCGCGACATGTTATACTCCCGTTCGCTCGGGACCGTAATGGCGGCAAAATTTGAAAATTAGCAAATTTTTTGCTATATTGCAAATTTTGCTATATTTTCACTTTGAGACAATATTTATGGATAAAACTTACAGGAATTCTTGTTGAATGTATAAACTATCGAATAAAATTATTTTTGGTTGCTAGAAATTGTAATAAAATACGTAAATTACCCTGTATAGCACAGTAGTAGTATGTACTTCAATTTTAGTGACAAAATTACTACTAATTTGAATTCTACACTTTTGTTTTTGGAGAAATTTATATCAAATTGTTTGGAAATATGTATATTTTTATGTTTTATGTGTTTCCATTCGTTACTCATACCAAAATATAAAATATAAAGAAATTAAAAAAATTAAATATTAATATTTTATCTGTGTGACATTTAGAACAATATTTCTAAAATAGTTTTGTGTGAATTTGAAATAAATACAACGTCAAGTTATTTGAAATATGTAAGAAAACTATTTTTACTTACATTTTACACTAAAAATAAATGAGAATGTGAAAAATACCACATTTATGACCCAGCCGCCATAATTGGCCTTCCAGATTTTGAAGCACTTTTGGCAATTTACTTTTCACTTTTTATACCACAAATTATATATATATATGTGTTCACTATTACAAGGAATATAAAAAAGTATAATACTTTCGTTTTTAGTCCAGACACAAATATAAAATTCTATAAAAAAGACGGAGCACCTTTATCAAAACGGCACGTGGAACGCTGAAAGTTCAGAGTGATTTCTTTTTTTTTTTTTTTTTTCTAAGAAACATTGCCAGGTTATGGTTTAAAATAAAAGAGCATATCTTTGTCTTTGATACTAATATCTATTGCATAGTGTCTTTGGTTTTGTTTAAAACGAAAAAATAGTTTTTTCATAGGTAGACATGTTTACATAATTCTGATCTAATTCGATCACTACTTGGCGGGCGTAAGGTTGGTATTGCGCGATCTAATGTGAGCTAGGCTTGGTTAACAGGTTAAGGTCCGCCACCCAGTCCTCCCTAGGCCAGACAAAATACGGCTCAGCGACCACAGCGATGTGAATCGACCACTGCACCATGCTCTGGAGCAACAGATCCTGAGCGCAGGCGCAGTGGTTGATATTCGCCTGGAGGAAGCTTAATGGGGCCGTTATAGGCATTCCATTTCAGCTGCCTCCACGGGGGGCCCCTCTGCGGGCGTCGGTGTCGCGGCGGCGGCGGCGGCGACAGTGACAGCGGTGGCAGTGGCAGTCGCGGCTGCGGCGGAGGCCACAGAGGCGGTGGCGGCTTTGGCCCCTACCCTACCCGCGGCCTTGGCCTTGGCGGGTGGCACGCAGGCCTTGCTTCCGGCCCGGTGATCGGCTGGCTTGCCGGTCGCCGCACATGCATCACAGTGCGGCGTGGCGCAGCAGGTCGCCGATATGTGTCCGGGCTGACAGCAGCGGAAGCAAAGGCCACTGCGGTCAACCTCCGAGGCGCATCTCACTGATACGTGGTGCCCCACGAGACAGCGATAGCACCTTAGAGGTCTGGGCTCCAGCAGCTTAACCTGCGCTGAGACCCAGCCCACCAGAAGCCTTCGACCCTCCACTATGGTTTTGGCCGCCGTAACAGGGCAGCGCACCGTGGCGGCATGCATACCCTGTTCGTCCGGGCGTATGGCGCCTGACCAGACCTGGTCAGTAGTGCACCCCCCGGACCTGGCAACGGCGGCCACCAACTCCTCCTCTGATACCGAGTCGTCCAGACCCATGATGCGCAGGTCTGCGCATCTGACGGCCCTGGACACTCGGGCCTCGTCCGCGTCCAGAGACGCTCTGAGCTTCGCTGCCAGAGCGTCCGCGGTCGCGCCACTTGATTCCCCGGGGACCTCCAGCATACGGGCCCCCCGTCTGGGTGACTTTGAGCCGGAGGCCCCCGGTGATCCCGAGCTCCCCGAGATCTACCGCCTCCTTCGCCTTCGCGAGCAGATCGCGGTAGGTAACGCCCTTCTTTTCCGCGTCCGGCTGTAGTGTAATCACTACAGCTGCGGTCTTCGGGTCGCGGAGCCTAGCCGCGATCTTGCGCGCCCTGAACTGGCGCTGCCGCTCCTGCTCTTTGGCCTTTTTGGCTGCCTTCTTCCCCTTCTTCTTGTTCCCGACCACCTGCCAACCGGCTTCAGCCGCGGGAGGTGTAGGGAGCTGGGGGGCAGTGACGGCGGCGGCAGCTGACTTGCCGCTAGCGCTGGCACATTTGCCGCAGGTACTGGGGCTGGTGCAGCCACCACCTGTGCTGCCGCCTTGCCCTTTCTCGCCTTCGTCTTGCCTCTTTTTCCCGTCGCCGGCTTAGCCGGAGCCGGTTCAGCCGGTACCGGATTTGCCGGAGCCGGCTTTTCAGGGGGAGGGGCAACTGCAGCCCCGCCCGAGGGCTGGCTGGACGGCCCCGGCCTGGATGCGGCAGCCGTGGCCGCCGCGTACGAGACCGTTGCCGGCCTCGCTGCCGTCTTGTTTGCCCCTGGGGGGCGCAGGACGATGCCCTCCAGCATGGAGAACCGGTGCTGGAAGGCAGCCAGCTCCTGCCGGACCAGGTTCAGAACCTGGTTCTCCACCGGCACGGGCTGGCTTGGGCGCTGCATCTGGGGCGCCGCGCGAGAGGCAGGCTCACGTAGACTGGCCAGGTCTGCGCGGAGCTTCTCGTTCTCCTTCTGGAGAGTCTCCATGGCGGACGTCAGGCGGGCCACGTCCGCCCGCAGCTTCGCCACCTCGTCCGCATTAGGCCCGGCGCCAGCAAAGTTAGACATAGACATAGACATAGACATGCATTTATTCAGCAACTTACATTCATACAGTTTTGATAGAAAATAATAAATAAAGAAGTAAATAAAAAACAGTCATTGATTGTGAGTGATGGAATGAAAAGGGCATGATCACATAAGCTTCGCAGTGGCCTCCGCAGCCGCCATGATGGAGGCATAGGCCCCGGGAATGGCCTTAAACTTCGAGGAGGGCTTTTGCTTGTAGGCCACGACCTTGATCAAGGCCTCCACCTCCTTTACGAATCTGGCCTTACGCTCCACCTCGGAGCCGCCAGTCGCACTCGTCTCTTCGCCTGATACCCAAGCCGTATCGCCCGGGTGGCGCCCCTCCTCGGCAAGCTTTGCCGCTCGTTCGGCCCTCTGATTGGCATTCCCCTTGCCTCTCAGCCCGCCCCGCCCGTTGGTGGGGATTTTCCGGGCCGAGACCTCCTCTTCACCGGATGACGGCCCCTGGTCGCCATCCCGCCTGGACCGCTTGCGGAAGAACTTACTGTTCTCCGCGGTCCCAGGCCCCACACGTCGGGAGCTCCTAGGCCTCCCACGCTGCTCGATGCGGCGTCGGACTCTGTCCCCGCATCGTTCCTCCTCTCCTCTACGTTGCCGTTGCCGGCGGTTTTGTTTGTTTAGTGAAGAGGCTTGGGAGCGACTTCTGGTTGAGAGCCTCTTGAAACTGTCGGGCGAGCACAGCGTGACACACCATGAACCCCTTCAGCCAGTAGTGATGCAGCCCGTCAAGCCCCGGACTTTTCCAGTTCAGGGCCCTACGGACCGCCTCAGCTACGTCATCCGGCGTTATGATGACGGGGTCCATGGGCGTAATACCCGCACACTGACTCGCCACAACTTTCGTCCAAGGGCCCTCGTTGTGGTTTACGGGCTCTGACCACAGGCTGCGCCAGAATGCGACCGTGTCGGCCTGATTTGGTGCTGGGCCCGTTCCACTTACTATTGGTTGCTCCAATGATTTGTAGAGCCTCTTCTGATCACTCTGGAAGAGACGGTTCTGGTTGAACCGTGTCGATCTCTTGGTATATCGCTGAATCCGCTTTCCCCAAGCAGCGATTCTTTGCTTCAGGTCGTCTATGCGCTCCGTCAGTTTTTGCGTTATATCCGGCTGGGACAAACTAACATTTGTCCCAGCAAACGCCATCCTGACGGTGCGCACAATCCTTGGCCTGGTATTGCCTGACCTGAAGCTCATCAGTCTGCCGGCCTAGCCCTTGCGATACGTTCTTCAATTCTTATTCTCCAGGCTGGGATAGCACTACTTTGTCCAGTAGCGCGTCCAGCCGTGGAAAGTTTGGCGCCTATAATACGGCAGACTGCCAGTGCGGCGCCAAAAAGAATTGAGTCCGTTTCGCAAAGGTCCCGGCTGGCTTCCAAATAGGTAACCAGCATTGGGTTCAGAGCCCTCACGACAGCCCGATTCCGCTTGCTTAGGGCTAAGCGGGGAAGTCGCGGTCGATTTTCGCGAGGCGTACTGCGCGTTTCCACAATCGCCTCCTCCAATGTACTCCTCATTTGCTCTAGTTCCAGTTCCTGGGCGACTGTTCCGTCATCGTTTGAATCAACCACAACTGGCGTATTCACGGCCGTTTGCTCAGCAAGTTGTAGCGCCGCATCCTCAGCCGCAGCATTTTCACCCGATGAAGGAACAGCCTCACGTCGTAGCCGTTCGAGTTCGGTGACATCAAATGTATTTGAGCGCAAGATATACAGAACTCGGTCTGCCAGGTTTTGCTCGGTGACGGTTACAGATGGCTCCAGCTCAGCAAAAAGTCGATGCATACCTGCCCGATACGCAAAACCTCCAGTTACTCCCCCTTTCGCTCTAAAATACGACCGCAATGCGTTGCTGTTCATCTGGGTTGTCCAACGCGTGCGGCGTACTCCACCAGTGGCGGTTGCCGATTGCTGGGCCCTGACCCTGACCCTGCTGACACCAAACCAGCTGGTGGGGATGATGGATGCGAGGGGCTGCTGGGTGGTCGTGCAGCACATCGCGCTCGGCTTGCGGTTCGCATGCTGTCGCGTCCAGCGCCAGCTCCAGACGCGCCCTGGCGACCTCCAGGCAGCGGCCTTTTTGCGCGTTCTTCCGTATTCCATCATCCATAGTGGTGGGCGTCATTTAGCGGGAGACGCCCAGACCCGGCGCCGTTTCATGGTGAGGCCATGTGCACAAGCGGGCCTTTGCACCTTCAATTTTTGCCGAGGCACGGCACTAACACCTCTCGGTAAGGTGCTGACTGACTGCGCTGACGTACCGGTTTTGTCACATAACCGTTACGTCAGCGGGCGATGGGGTCGTCACTTCCCTACGCCTTTTTATTTTTATTATTATTGTGGGGTATCTATATAGTTTTCTCATCTGGTTGGGTTCTATAAATATATAATTATAAATGAAAATGAAAAGATAAATATACATAAATATCAATAACATCAAATAAATATAAAAATACATAAATAAATGAAAGCCCAACCAGATGGAGGCCCTCGGCATGGGAGACCAAACGGCCGAGGGTTAAGGGGAAAGGGAAAGAAACTGGCGGACGATGCGGGCGGTATCGAGGAGCACCGCCTTCTGCATTTGAGCCCGGAACGGTCCGCCACGTAGTCCCAGTCGCCTCAGATGACACGAGAGGCTGACTGGGATTAGCCCGTTTGCAGAGACGACTACAGGAATAATTTCGGTCCGCAAACCACCCCATATGTCGGTCACCTCGTGAGCCAGGTCCAGATATTTCGTTTGCTTGTCTGTTTCGGCTTTCACGAGGTTCTCGTCATACGGAATGGTAATGTCGACCAAAAATATCCTTGACTGTGCCCGGTCCATCAGCACAATATCAGGCTTATTCGCAAGAATAGTCCTGTCTGTGATGATGGCCCGGTCCCAATAGAGCCTGGCGCGATCATTTTCGAGCACGGCTTCCGGCAAGTACTTGTAATACGGCAATTTCCGATCCACGAGACCGTATTTCAGAGCGTGCTCCTGGTGAGGAATTCTGGCTACTAGGTTGTGCCTGTGCAAGTACTCAGAGTTAGAAAGCGCCGAACAACCGGAGATGACATGCCTAAGTGACTCACCGGGATGGCGACAAGCTCGACAGATGTCCACGGTGCCATCCTTTAGGATGTATCTCCGATAGTTGTTGGTCTTAATAACCTGATCCTGTATTGCACAGACAAAACCCTCGGTTTCCCCGAAGAGGTCACCGAAGCGTAGCCAGTTGAGGGAGGCTACTGTGTCTACGAAAGGCTCATGTAGAGCCTTGTAGAACCTCCCGTGGAGCTCCTTCTCCTTCCGTACGGTCTCCCGGTCGGAAATGCTAAGCACTGCTGGGTCCTGCCATTTTTTTTTTTTTTTTTTTTTATTTTTTAAAAACGTTACCCCTACACTAAGATTTTCTCTTGTATCGTGGGGGCAGTTTACAAACATAAATTGCACAAGGACAAACATCCAGACCCAGAACAACTATTTGTAGGCCATACAAATACTTGTTCCGTGCGGGATTCGAACCCGCGACCCCCAGCGCAGCTACTCATTGCTAAGCCACTGCGCCACGGAGTCGCCATTGCTCGTTGGCTAAGGATAGAGGGGTAAGCCCTTTATCACTAGAAATGACGTCATTATAGAATGGATCATCCGATCTCGCCAGGAAGTAATTACGTATTATTATTATTATTTAACAAATTTAGCTGTTTCGTAGATGTATATGCAGGGAACAGTTAGTAGATTATTTGATTTAAAGGTCGGTTTACATGATTCCGACCAATCCATGCCGTACAGTGTCCTAATGCATTTTTTCTGTGCTATAAACACCCTCGTGATGTGGCAGGAATTTCCCCAGACAACTATGCCATATCGTATAATGGAGCAAATGTAAGCGTGATATACCATAATAGTGGTATGTCTGCTTGTCACGTCTTTTACCTTTCGAAGTGCAAAAACAAACTTATTTATTTTTATGCATTCATTACATCCGCTTACAATCAAGTAGACTGTGTACTCTTTTGTTACCATATTTCATTAAAAATCAATCTTCTTTATAACATAATCTTTATAAAGTTCTGTTAATACAAATTCAAACTATTTTCTGATCGTGAAGTATTTTCTAACGGGAAGAAGTGTAGGTAATATGCAATGTATAATCTGCCTCATCTCCCGACGCCACGAACTAAACGAGTTATTTTTATTCTATAGCTAAAATATATTTATAGTACAGATCTCTAGTTATTTCATAACCTATAAATATGCACTAAAGAATATAATCCTCCTTATAGGTTGCTTCATAAGGGGATTTTTGTCATAATTGCCGCTATTGGCAGGTTGGTTGCTTTTATTTATTTTTAAGCTGTTACGAGGAAGACGCCGCTGCCCATGTTCTGTTTCAGATTTAAGCATATTTCATTACATAAAAATTACACTTGCTTGAATTAAATTCATTGCTTAATGATTTTATGTTCATGTCAGATTATAATTTATTGTAGGCATAACCTTTTCTTTTATAAGATAGAGTGACGAGTGAAACGAGCACACAGTCCACCTGATAGTATGTGGTTGCTGTGGCCCATAGTTCTATATCTGTTGTCAAATACAAATCAAAATCCAGATGCGTCGTCACCCCGTGAGGATTAAAATTAAATGCCTCGTTTTCAGTAAAAAGGGTATCCGGATCTCTACACTCACCATACGAAACACAGCAGCATTAAATTACTATTTTACGCAGGTATTCTGTGAGAGCGTGGTCCTTCCCCAGTCGATTCGAGCCGAGTATTTTGTGCTATAACTGTACTATTTATATTACGGCAGCAGGGCTCTACCACATTTAAATCTTTATCTATTAAAATTAAGATACTCGGAAAACTAGCAAAACCGTGTACTACACCAATCTAGAGAACGTTTTCACAAAGACGTCTAATTAAAATAATTATATCAATTTAATAACGCGTTAAATTGACATCAGATTTTCTAAGTAATAAATAGTTAAGCAAAGAACTTCTTGAACTTAGATAAATGCCTTTCATTGATTTTGTATTCAATAGTTTAAATATAACTAGCTGGCCATGCAGACGTTGTGCTGCCCTATCCGACGACGTTTTGTCATATTCTTTTTTTAAATTCGTAATAAAACACATCGAGGGTCACTTATCGGGATAAAAATCCTATTATCTCTTACAAACAAGAGCAAGCAATACACACAAAATTTCATTCAAATCAGTTCAGTAGTTTAGTAGTTCATCGCGGACAAACAATGTGACACGTAATTTATATATATATATATATATATATATATATATATATATATATATATATATATATATATATATATATATATATATAGATGTTCAACTTGAAAAACGTTGACTTGCTTACTCTGTGTTCCCTGTTAATATCATTCTCTAATCTATTAGATACATTCTGGGAATGTGCGCTGGAATCATATAATTTAATTTATCCCATCCTTCTCCATCATCGGTCACAAGAAACTTGACGAGTCTCCACTCCTTTGTTATCGCCATTCCGTACATTAGAATTAATCGGTTTGCTTCAACTTTCGTAATGCGTACAGCAAAGGAGTGGAATAATTTGTCAGCGTGTGTTTTTCTGTCCAACTACATTATGGGTGTGTCCATGAAAAAGCTTTATTTGCTCTAAGACTGTGTAATTTACTATATAGGTCTTTATCACATACCACCAGATTTGTTAGTTAAGAACTGTCTTTTAATAAGTAAAAAAAAACATTTTTCACATTGTCTATAATCTAGTGACCCAAGTTTTTAAAACAATTTACTTTTTTAAGGCTTGTAGACTGAATTGATAACCCGCCGGCTCTATTTCTTAAAGAATAACCTATGAGAAAGAAATGCTTAAGTGTAGCAACTTCGTACTGGCAAGTGCAATGTTTGGTAACCAGCTCCTACCAGATGAAATGACGACATGATGAAGCATGTAGGTAGCTGATGGATGCAGGTCGCCCATTACCGAGCTTTGAGGCAATGTCTATGTTGTCTAGGGAGACCTAAGATGTTCAGAATTGGCTGAATGATTATTATAATGATGATTATGATGATTATTATGGCGACTCCGGTAACGTCTACAAGAGAAATTAGTAATAGAGGTACATTAAAAGACAAAAAGGGATAAATAAAATTAAGAATAACACTCTGAACTCACTTTTGTTCAGCAGTATAAAGCAAATGCAGGTGACGCATTGGGGGTTTTCGTCTCAATCATTTTACGAGTCTACACAAGGATGGTAATTCTGTACATTGTGTTATTCAAGCATATATAGTGGAGGTGCAGTGTTATTTAAATTGAAGATAATAATAAAATACCATTTATTTTACCTATTTGGCAATTACTTTAAAAAAAACCAAAGTTTTTAAGATAAAATATATTCTAGATTACTCGATCGTGGCATTGCTCTATCTGTTCATCAAGTTACATTATAATAGGTTCAGTCATTACAGATAGACCTCAACTCAACAAAAGGCTTATTTCTTTATTACAGACAATTTTAATTATATGTTTAAGATATATAGATGATAGGAAATAGAGTAAACGGGTCCCTACACTCTATTGTGAAGAGTCAAAATGTGTCAAAAAAGGCACGTGTGGCAATTCACAATGCTGTGTTGGTCCCTACTTTAACGTATACTAGTGAAAGTTGGGTGTGGCAGAAGAAGCACGAGAGTAGAATAAATGCAGTAGAAATGCGGTCGTTAAGGAGTATGTTAGGGCTGAATCTGAATAACAGGGTGAGAAATTGTGTGATAAGAAATGAGTGTGGTTTGCAAGATGATGCTGTGACCAGGATTAACAAAGGAATGCTTCGGTGGTTTGGTCATGTGGAAAGAATGAATGAGGAAAGAGTGACAAAGAAAATTTATGTTGCAGAAGTGAATGGCAGAGTCGGAAAGGGACGCCCTAGGCGAAAATATATCGACTAAATTAGCGATTTATTAAAAACGGGCCAAATTATGAGTACCCTTAACCGACGAGCATGTATGCGTAGGTATATGGATGTGAAGGAGGCGAGAGAGGTGTGTCAGGATCGTGCCAAATGGAAGTCTGTAGTCTCTGCCTACTACTCTGGGTGACAGGCATTAGTG